TAATTTTAATCTACCACCTCCAGTGTAACTCATGGTGAGAATAAAAACACTAAGACATATTTATAGCTATTGACAGCCAAGGGAATCCTGCGTTTGGTCCGGGGCGGATAGGAACAAAGTCCCTGACCCAAGACCTCACCCAGAATGTATTATCTCCTGAAAAAAAGAGTGGCTCAAGGATGAATGACAGTGAGAAGGGTGGGAATTACATAAGCTGAGCTGGCCAGGTATTGAGAAAGCACCTCTGCAATACACAGGGAAAAGGATGCACAAAAAGACTCATCTGCATAAGTCAATTGTGGCAGCATTTGAATGATTTAGGAGGTTGTTGCTCTGGTCTCTGATATGTAAGCTTTATGCCCTGAGAAGTAATAGCCTCTTGTCTTGAGGCTCAAACCCAGTTGATGGTCCTGGAGCTATGTGGCTCTGCCATCCCACTGTGTTCAACCATTTATAGGGAGCCCATTGTGAGGAAACAGGAAACTGTGGCCTCAAGGATTACACATCAGGACCTCAGCTGGTCTTATTTTCAGTGCTGAGAGCCAACTGAAGGGAGAAGGAAATAGCATAGACAGCTCTGTACATATCAGAACATGGAAACAGGGCTCAGCTCAACTATCATGGGAACAATTGTTCTGCATTCAAGGAGAGCCATCCAGGTCATCTTCTACACCCATTCATCCACTTATTGGGATTCGGGTTGTTTCCAAAATTTCACTATTACAAACTGTGCTGCTACAAACATGGATGTGCATACATCGCTGTAATATGATACATTTAATTTGATACCAAGAAGGGAATGGCTGGGTCAAATGGAACCTCTAGTCCTAGTTTTTTGATGACTCTCCATACTTATTTCCATTTTGTTGAACCAGTTTGCTCTCCACCAACACTGAAGACTTTTTCCCTACAGCCTCAGCAGCATTTTTTATAAATGGATTTCTTTTTTAGTTTGAGTTTGTTTGTTCTTTGTGGCGAGGTCTCACTATGTAACCCAGGCTGGTCTTGAACTTGTGACAGTTCTGCCTCAGCCTTCCGAGTGTTGGAATTGTAGGTGTGCACCAACAACTCTGCCTATTGGTTGCTTTCTTGATGGTAGCCATTCTTTCTGGGGTAAGACAGAATCTCAGCATTGTTTTGATTTGCATTTCTCCAATAACCAATGATAAACATTTTTCATATATTTATTTGCTGTTAGTACGTCTTCATCTGAAAAGTCTCTATCATTTCAGATGCCCATTTTTGGATTTTTTCACTCCTTTTTATTTTATTCTTAAGACAGTATCTCCCTCGGCTGCCCAGGCTGGCCTCTTGCCTTAGTCTCAGGTAACCAGGTATGCAGGTGTGTACCCCTACACTCATCTTTAGTGTCACCTTCTCTTCACGTCTGCCTCACCGCAGAACCTGGCAGCCCCCTTGCTCTGATCCCTGCCTTCCTCGTGCCACACTGCCCTTCACAGCACCTGTCTTTGGGATGGGGGTGACTGTGCCTGTCGGCTTGGCCAGGCTGCACCTGTTCCCTAAGACTCTCTCCCCATGTCCTTGACACTGAGGCTGGAAGGCAGAAATGTTACAGGCAGCTGAATTAGTTGGCGATATGATATGCAGTCAGACAGGGCTGGGCCCTCAAAGGAGCCAGTGCAGAAGCCCAGATACCTTGCAAACTTGGAGGAGACAGACACCTCCCACTGTGGGCCAGACCTCAAGGCAAAGACAAAACAAATGCAACCATGTCCTAAGTATAAACATCAGGGATTGATGTTCTAAATCGGTATGCATTACCTTGAGGAAGCCAGGATTCACCATCCCAGCCCTCTATAGGAAGAGTCACTGCTGTGAAGCATGCCCATTTGCTATGTGACTGATTTCCCCATTTGTCCCTGATTTGGTCAATTTTATCTGAACAATTAATCTTATTGGTTGACAGTAGTTCTGTCCTACCTTATGTCCACCTTTCAAGTTTCCATTTTTCCCCAATTTGGACCCATCTCACCTTGTAATTTTGCTCTATAAAAGTCCCTATAAGACAGAATCTTTGGCAACCTGCTCAGGACCCCTTCTGTCTCTCTCAGACAGAAGCTTTCTTTCTCTCAATAAATATATTTCGCTCAGGCCAGGGATTTAGCTCAGTGGCATAAGCGCCTGCCTGGCAAGCACTAGGTCATGAGTTTGATTTCTGGTACAAATATATATATATTCTGATGTTAAGTTCCATTGTTTCTAAAATTCATTCTTTGATTTTAGAGAACATGAAGTTGCACTGGACATCCAGTAGGCTGGGCATTTCATCCCCCTGTATCATCGAGGGAGGGTTTTCTGAAAGCGAGGGTGGAAGCCTTTAAACAAGAGCTCATGCTAGCTGGCCCAGGAGGCCTTCCAGTTCTGTCTGAAGAACCTGGAGCAGGTTCCCTCAAGGCAGCCACGTTCCTGCCCCAGCCTTCCGGATGCGCCCTGCTCCTTGCTGCCTCCGGATGGACATCCAGGCTCCGTGTAGCCTGTCATGTAGGGAACCTGGAGGCCAGCTGGCTGATGCCCTTTCTGCTCCATTTCTCCTCAGCGCACACAGGGACAGCTCCAGCAGCCTTCATGTGGCTGTCCCAGCTGCAGAGGGTACAGTTAGGCAGGGCCCAGAAGGAAGGACAGTGATGGGCAGCCCTGCTGCCCACAAGGCCTGCAACACCCAGGCTGTACCTGGGGCCCCTGACATGCATGCGGCCAGGTGGAGACTCCGCTGAGGACACCGCCCCACATCTCCTTCTGCTGCTGCCGCAAACTATTACGAGGTTCCCTGTCGTACCCATTCTTGGGATCTGGCCCTACTGTGGAGCACATTTGTTGTGCTGGATGATCTTCTTCAAGAAGGGGGCAATATCTTGCTCCCCTGGAATAAATACCAGTGTGGGACCGAGCTGGGTGGCCATGTCTGGAGTCTGCTGGAACCCTGAGTGCCAGAGCTTCTCCCTAAAAACCCAGCAGTCTTCTAAGGGCTCAGACCAGGCGCTTGTACGCACACACACTGAGCTCTCTCGCCCTGTTGTACCTAGAGTATAGCCTCAAACTTGTGATCCTTCTACCTCAGCCTTGAGAACAGCTGAGGTTACAGTGCCATGCCACCACTGCTGGCCACAATTTTAAAAATTCTTTGTTTGATACTAAGAACATAAGACAGTAAATATTAATGAGGTAGTGTTTCAGTATATGCATAAATTGTATAATGTTCAAGTCAGATTAAAACGGATTACCTACTCCAATATGTATGATTTCGTGGTAACACAACATGCAAAGCCCTTCCTCCCGGCTGTCTGGATGTATAGCATAGGAGGATACTTGCTGTGCAGTGGAGCCTGCTTCTCTCTTCCCCATGGGTGCAGGGTGCCTGCAGCCTCTCCTCACGTGCCCTCCAGACCGCTGTCTCCTCTTCCACGCATGTGTGGGGCTGGGGCACTCACTCTCCTGTCTCCTTTCCCTTGCACCATAGTCTTCTCTACCCGCTCCTGCTAGCCGCGTGCCATGTGCTTGGCAGGGCCTAGGCCTTGGCACCTCTGCCCCCGGGCTGTGGGAGGGCCCACAGTGACCAGGGCCACGGGGCTTTCTCCTGCGGTGGAAGCCTGCGGTCGGTCCCGAATCCCTCCAGGCTGTCTCCCCGGTGGTCGCAGCAGCTGGAGCCCTAAGCTCACCAGGCTTGCAGGCTTCTGCTGCTGTGGGCGCAGCCAGGCTTCCTGGAGCGCAGTGCTGGCTCACTGTGGTTTCGTGCTGCGTTTCCGCGATGAGTAGGAACCTTGAGAATCATTTCCTATGGCTTCCTTTGGGAAGCATCTGTTTGGGCCTACTGCCTACTTTTAGAATTGGGTGCTTGCTTGTTTGCTGTTGAGTTTTTGTAGTTCTTTATATATTTTGGAAATTTTATATTTTGTACCTATTGTCAGGTGTATAGTTTATAAATATTTTCTCTTGTTTGTTTCGTGACTTTCACAATTATTTCCTTGCATGCTGTAACCCCATGTGACTAATTTTCCTTTTAAGGTTTTATCCAAAAACTTCTTGCTCATTGCTATGATGTCTTCGTATGTAAATGAAGTACAGCATCAGAAATGGTGGTCCGAGCTACTAGGAGGCTGAGGCTGGAAGAACTCAAGCTCCAGGCCAGCGGACCAGGGAATTTAGTGAGATCCTGGGGATATAACTCGACGACAGAGCACCCCTCAGTCCCCCGTACGCCCGCCTCCAGACCGAGTCAGAGAAAATGACCGAAGTTGGGGTCCCGGCCGCTGGGTCCCCCATAGGCACCTCATCGCACTCCCTGCTGGGCCTCCCTCCTGGCTTCCGGAGCTCTTCATTGGTAGCTTTGAAATCATCTCCTCCCTGACACCTAATGCAACGTGGTCTAATGTGCTCCACCTTCAGGCACCCGGGGGCGGCAGAGGTCCTGAGGGAGGGAAGGTGATGTGCACCACCACACAGAGACTCCCGGAAGGGGGGAAGGCAGGCAGGGAAATCCAGCGGACACCGGGACCTCGACATCCAAATCCACAGCGAAGGAAGCCTTCGTTTTCTTTTTTCTTCTTTTGCTTCTCTTTATTCGATCAGATGTGAGAGCTTTCTCGGGAAAAGAGGATTATTCTCACTAGGAATTATTCAACATACTCTGCATCTCTATTTGGCAAGAGTACTGTAAAAGGAATTAAATTGGATTAGAATACTTCAATAAAAAAATTTTTTTGAGCAAGAGCTTGCTATGTAGTCCAGGCTATGTAGTCCAGACTCATGGCAATCCTCCTGCATCAGCCTCCCAAATGCTGGGATTACGAGTGTCCCACTATACTCAGATCATCAATAATCTTTTATGATTAAAAACTTATGATCCTCTGATATAACAACAATTATTTTGCTTTGGTCATGTATTTCCCCAGTTTATGAGGAAGAGGATTAAAGCACTCACTTTTATAAGAAATTTTGTTTATTGATTAAAAACAGAACTGCTAATGTATACAGGTGTGAAAATATATTAAAATATTGAGATACATATATATATTTGTGACTTCAGATGGTTTGTTTTTTAAAAAAATTGGTTCCAGGGATTGAACTCACAGCTGCATGCTTGCAAGGCGGGTGCTTATGCCGTTGAGCTAAATCCCAGCCTCGCGGATACTTTCTAAAAGTATTTTAAGTTCAAATCAGTATTATACTTGCTAATAATTACTAGTTTGGATTTTGCTGTACTTTTCCTCAGAATGTTCTAGACACTTTCCAACAAACATATTAAGGGTGCAGAAAATAAAAGATGACAGCAGGTGTCTAGATAAGAGCAATTTGGGGGTAAGAAATAAGTTGTCTAGGAATATACAAACCACAGCATAAAGTTACAATGTCTTAAAAATTGAAGCAATGGTTACAATTCCCGTTCTAAGAGCATACTGATTACAGCCTGGGCACTGTGGCAGTACACCCCTGTAATCCCAGCACTCAGCACTTAGGAAGCTGAGGCAGGAGTAATACCCTGAGTTTGAGGCCAGCCTGAGCTACATAGTGAGCTCAAGGCCACCTTATATAACCCTGACCCCCAATAAATGAAGATTACTAATTATAGTTTTTTAATGTAGTGCTGGGGATGGTTGCAGACCTCATCCAAGTGCTCTACATCCCCAGACGTGGGTGGGTGGTAAATACTTGTTTTGTGGTGTGAAGGACAGAACCCAGGTCCTCTGCATGGAGCTGAGTTCCCAGTCCTTTTTACTTTTTATTTTGCGATAGGGTCTCACAAAGTTAAAGCCTTTCCTTTTGACGTATCTGGCTGCTTTCGTTCTGGCCTTGGGTTTCCCTAGAGCCCAGGCGCCTCTGAAACTGCTGCTCCAGGCCTTGCTCTTGTCTCTGTGTTACTGTATCAGTCAGCTAAGTATCTCCCATCTCATCTTTCTACAGTGCCTCCTCCAAACTGAGGCCAGAGTTGAATCTATTTCTTTTTTCTTATCTTTTTTTCGAAGTGGGGATTAAACTCATGACCTTACACTTGCCAGGCAAGCACTTGTGCCACTGAGCTAAACCCCCATCTCCCCCCTTTTTAAAATCTTTTTTTTTCCCCAAATCTCTTCTATCATCTCACCTTCACAATGAAGTTCTAGTGCCTTAAAGTGAATACATACGATTTTTTGTTTAAAGTGTTTCTTTTTTTGGTACTGGCAATCAAACTTAGGACTTTACACTGGCCAGGCAGGTGCTTATGCTGCTGTGCTAAATCCCCAACCCCTACATAAGTTTTTTTTTTTTTTTTAATGAACTGACCTCAAGTAGACTTTCTGAAATTCCCATTAGGTTAACAGTTCCACTACAGAACCATGTGTAGTTGCTTGAATTGTCCAGATCTTCTTATGCTTCTTGGGTTTTATAGAACCCATTGCTGCTGTCTGAGAGTGGTCCCCCTTCATCCTGCCAGTCTTCATCAATCCAGGCATTTCGTGAGACCCAGTTCAGACAATAAAAAACAACTCTCTGTGAACAGGGGCAATGAGAAAGGAATCAAAGTATGTTACTATAATACAAATCAATGAACCCTGTAAAATTTTTTTGTTTTAATTTGTATTTCTGTATGTGGTTGAGCACACTTGGTGTCCTGGCACTCAGAACGCTGAGGTGGGAGTGTCTCCACGGATTTGAGGCCAGCCTGGGCTACCCAGTGAGTTCAGGGTCAGCCTATACTATGTATCGAGAGTATGTCTCAAAAAACTGAAAATAAATAAACTTTAAAAAATAATTTTTTATTGGGGGCTGGGGATTTAGCTCAGTGGCATAAGCACCTGCCTTGCAAGAAGGCGGTCGTGAGTTTGATCCCTGGTACGGAAAAATAAATAAATAAATTTTTATTGATACATAAAAGACATGCAGCTCTGAAGTCAAGTATTTGTCATTTTTCATTCCATAAAGTGATGAAGAGACCTTCTTTTGAAGTCCAATTAGACTGTGACAGCAAAGCTGGGCCTGGTGACACACGACTCTGATCTCAGCACTTGGCAGGCTGAGGCAGGAGGACACTGCAGATTCTGGAACAGCCTAGGCTACAAAGTGAGCTCAAAGCCAGCCTGAACTGCATAGAGAGACCGTGTCTCAAAAAGACAAAAAAAAAAAAAAAAAAAAAGAGAGAGAGAGAGAGATTATGACAGTAGTCATTGCACAGTGCTGCAACTGATCCTTGTATCATTTTCGTACTAGCCAGTGGGGACCATGACAGTAAGGAGAACTTGTTGCTTGCACAAAAAATGCACATAAAAAACACTTCTGGAATTAATGACCCCCAAAATGGACAATGTCTAACTCCATGGCATTATAGAGCACTATGTTGGACTCTGGTCACGGACACAGTTGGCAGCAGAAATGACAGTGAATGGAAATGCAGCCCCTGTAAGGGGAAGAGCCTCTCTAGCAGGAGGGCCTGGGGTAAGGCTGCTGGAGGGACTCTGATAGAGAGAGACCTAGACTTTTGGAACAGGGAGAGGACAAGCTCCCAAGCACAAGGGCAGGGAGCGGGGCTGCAGCCTGCGGGCATGGTGGGGAATGCACTCCAACCATGCCAAGGTCTTGTTTGGAGGAAAAAACCTCAAAACAAAACTGGAAGGTAGTATCAATACAGAGGAGGAAATCATAATGGCATATACTACTTGAATCATTTTCCATGCTAGTCTACAAGTGTTAATGGTACTGGGCTTGCTTAAACAACCTTAATATAAATGAGATGTCACATTTGTACTTTAGCACTTTCTGGTTAACGATTATTATAAATGAAACCTACAACTTCAGGCAAATCAAGGGGATCCAGACACAGGTGGACGGGCAGAGGGGAGAGGAAAAGGGATGAAAACAGCAATTAAGATGCGCTGTGCACACAGACCGACCTCACAAAGGAGTGTGAACATTATGCACTGCACATGTGCGCTAATAAAAATGTGTGTATTATTTTAAAAACTAGATTTCTTTAGTCATTAGAATAATGCCCTTTCCAGTGTCTAACCTACCATTGGTTTTTTTTTTTTCTTCACTATTTGTTGCTTTTTGTCTAACTAGAAATTCTATTTATTTACTGTGGAGACTGAACCCAGGACCTTCACACTAAACTACATCCCCAGCTCTTTAAAAAATTTTTGTTCTTATGTAGAGTCTTAGTAAATCACTAAATTACCCAGGCTGAGCTTGAACTTGTGACCCTCCTGTCTCAGCTTCCCAGACTGCTGGAATGACAGGTATGTGTTCTGGTCACACCCCAGTTTTTGCCTTTCTAGGACCACGAAGTTAGTGTAACCACTCAGTAGCTGGATAGCAGAACCCACTGCAGCCCCACGACCTTTGTAAAAACAGCTGGCAGATGCCCACAACCCATTACCTCACTTCCTAAAGGCCTCAGCCTGAGCCTCAGGCAGGGCAGCAACTGACTCCACAGCACAGAATTCCGTCCTGCTGCAGGCTCACCTCTCTGGAATAAACTGGCTCTTATAATGATCCTGTTGATGCTGGATTGTTATAATTCCTTCCAAAATGCAGTTTACATTTCCAACCTAGTTCATTTTTAAACACTAGCTATGAGGAAAACTGCTATTATTTTAAAGCAACCTTTAACCAATTGCAATGGCATGCAGCTGTAATGCCTGCTACTTAGGAGGCTGAGACAGGAGGGCCCTTTGAGCTCTGCCTGAGCAACATGAGACTTCAACAGCAAAACCCAAAGAAATGAAGGTGATCTAAGACAAAATATCGCTTTCACCTGAGTGCTGTGGTGCATCCCTGTAATCCTAGACTGGGGAGGCTGACAGAGGCTTGGCAAGCTTGAGGCTAGCCACTCTGCTCAAAATAAAAAGTAAGCAGGGCTGGGGTGCTCTACATGGTAGAGTGCTCCTGGATTGTAGCCCCAACGCAAAAAAAACAAAACAAAACAAAAAAAAATAAAAACGCCTTTTGTTTTTGTTCAAAGTATGTTTCTTGACTGGACATTTTACTTAACCGCCCCATCTATTTTTACACGCGCAGGAGTTGTGGTGTTTGGAGTTGCATTCATTTCTATTCTTCTGCAGAAGGACTCCATGGGACAGACATAAAAGTTATTAGCATGTACCTGCTAACTAGACGAGGCCAGCTGATAAAGCTCATCGAAGCAGCAACCGCGACCCTAGCGCCTACCCGGCTCGGTGCGCGCCCTCGCGGGGCAGTTTTTCTGCCTGGCACCGAACCGCCCGCGATGGCGGTGATAAAATGCGCGTTTTGTCTCTCCTCGGAAAGAACCGGCATCCTCCGGGCCCAAGCACTCTCGCATCTACTCCACTCAATAAACCTCTTCCTTTAATCTCTGAAGATGGATAGCACCTTCATCGCAGCTCACACGATTGCGCGCCCTCCCCCGTCGGCTCAGAACTTCCATTCCCTTGCCTTTGCGCCACCCCTGGCTTGTTGACATCCCGGGTCCCTGCTCTGTACTTTGTTTCAAATGCAAAAAAATAGCGTAGGGGGGAGCCTTTGAGAGGAATCCCGCTTGCTGCATATCAGAGGAAAGGCGTGGTCGTTTTACAGGCACGGAAAATAAAATGAGCTCCGCGGCTGGTTTCGCAGCCATCAGAGCGGTTACTCCTTTCCAGCGCCATCCCCACCTCGCAGTCAAGTGCGCCGCAGGGCAGTGCGGCTCTAACCGCCTCGCCGGGGGCAGCGCTTCCCCGCGCAGTCTTAGGAGCGGCCGGCCGGAAGGCTGAGGCCCGCCCCCTGCGCCGTCCTCCGCCACCTTGCGGGGCGCCGCGTGCCGGCAGCTCGGCCTTGCTCTGCTCCCGGCTCTGACCAACCCAGTGCTCCCCACGAGACCCTCACACGTCTTAGCCTTTTGACCTAAGCTCCCTGCATTGGCATACCCCTTTTTCTGTTCATAAAACTGGCACTCTTTTCTGCGCTTCCACCTTCGGCTCTTCACCTCTGCTTCGTCCTGGTTCTTCTCCGGCTTCCAGTCACGCGGACGGGGCTCTGACCCCTTCCCCGGCTGCGTCCGGACTGTTCTTCCCTCACCTGGACCGTGAGGGTGCATTTAGTGGGCACCTTCTCTGCACGGCGCTGGGGACTGAAGCCAGAGCACAGCAAGGCCAGGAAAATAGTTCCACCCTTGAGCCACGTCCGTGACCGGATTTGTCTGTCTGTCTGTCTCTGTCACCCTCCCTCTGTCTCTCTCTCTGTCGCTCCCCCCCCCCGTTTCCCCCATCTCTCTCCAGAAAGAGTACTGTTGGCTTCTCTGACTTTTCGCTCATCCCTTTCAGTCTTTGTGATACTGGGGGTTGAACCATGGGGGCTCTACAATATGCTCCCAGCTCCAGCCTCTCACATAGTTTTGAGACAGTCTGTAAGTTGTCCATCCACCAGGTGGGATGGAACTTGCAGTCCTCCTGTCTCAGCCTCTCTCAGGGCTGGGATTTGCAGGAATGGACCACTGTGTCCGCTTCTGTTCTTTTAGGTGCATTTTCTTCACAGGGTTTTTCTCTCTCTTATTTTGAACTTGGTTGTAGGCAATTTCACCCAAATCAGCAGCTTCGTCTATACTGAATGAAGAGCCTGCAGTCAAACTTCATTGGCTTAACACATGGTGAATTTCACTCTGAATTTAACCTTGTTTCCAACTTTTTTGAGGATAAGAAGTCACCTCCCTCTGCACATTTCCAAATGCAGTGACAAAAAACAATAGAGAATACCAACTCCTATGTCAGTCCTCAAGTCGTGTTGATGTCAGTTACCCAGAAAGACAATTTTCCAAATCCTTTTTTTCTTTGCCTCCATTGCCATCATTTGAGTGAAAAACAGTCCCTCAAAAAACAAACAAAACAAAAAACAAAAGCCCTCGACATATATTTGTCTGAGAATTTTTTCATTTCTGCAATTAGCACTTGAGGGCTAATTATAATCATTTAGGTTTGTAATATCTTGACTACAATTTTTATTCTAAAATTTCTTTTATATATAAAAGCAATGAAAATTTTATATATGTGTATATATACACACAATATACATTTTGTAGGACTGTAGCTATTGAATCCTGAAGCTTTTTTTTTTTGTCTTTTTCCTTTTTATCGTTACCAGGGACCGAACTCACGACTGCCTGCTTACAAGGCAGGTGCTTATGCTGCTGAGCTAAATCCCCAGCCCCTATCCTGGAGCTTTTAAAAAATTTTTTGCTGTGTGTAGCAGCCCATTCTTATAATCCCTGGAAAGCTGAGTGACTAGGTGAGACTCTTTCTCAAAATTTAAAAAGGGCTGGGGCGGTAGCTCAGTGTAAAGGACCTGGCTTCAGTTCTCAGTACTGCAAAAAGCATTTTAATTTTGAAACAAAGCTTTGCTTAAATGCCTAGACTGGCCTTGGACTTGCAATCCTCTTGCCTCCGCCTCTTGAGTAGCTGAGATTAGAAGCATTTGCCACTGTACTTAGAAAGTATTAAATTCTTTCTCCTCCTCCCTTTCCCTTCCTCCTGAGACTGGATTGGTCTCCAGCTCTCAATCCTCTGGCTTCCTGAGTGCTGGGACTGGCAGGCACCAGTCCCGGCTTCAGTTCCAGTTGTTCAAGCCTGATAATATTCCACCAGCCATCAGTTTGCATTTATGTAACTGATTATTCTCCCATAAACCGAGGCAGACATCTATCTAAACATCACTTTCATACTCTGTAAGCCTACATCCTCAAATGCTTGGTACCAAGGATAAAAAAAAGTGCACTTAAAATGTGCTAGATGAATGAATAACTGTTCAAAGTTTCTTTTTATCTTCATAGTCTCGCAATTTACCCTAGTCAAAAATAAATACTTTTCATTTGAATGCTTAAGGTGTTATTTCCAGTATAAACTACTGAGTTGTCTTTCCATACAGTTAAGGGTCTAACCTGTTCTAATTTGTACTCTATGGACCATGCCTGTAAAAAGAAAACAAGGGCAATGCAGAAGCAGCAGAAACCCTAGCACGTGCACAAACTGTGCTATGTAATCACCATCTGCTATTCAGGCCTGCCTGGCCCACCAGCCTGACTTCGGTACTGCGGCTCAAACCCAGAGCCTGGGCATTGAGCTGCATCCCCAGTTCTTTGTTATTTTGGGGGTGTGGTTAATTTTCAAAGCTGAACAATCTGAGGAGAGTATAGAAAGACAAGAAAGCAACTGATATCCCTGTGGTGCTTTCTGTGGGATGCAAAACAGGATGACATAGTTGATTTTGGAATCACTTACAGTCCAACACTGCTGACTACTTGAGGGGGATGGATGTTCACGCAACAACAGACATACATTGAAACATCCTCCGCAAACTCACAATGAAAAGATTCTCGTTTCTTTAGTTCTAGATGCTCACTGTGCTTTGCCACATTTAAAATTTCCACAATCAAAAGGCAGGTGCACGAGCTCCCCGGACCGCTGTGAGGAGCTCCCCTCCACCGCCCCCTGAGTGGCGCTCCCTCGCCCCGCCCCCGACGCCGCGGCGCATGTGCAGTGCCTTCTCCTCGTCCGGGCCCGGACGCCGCTCCCCCGCGCACGCGCAGCCCGCCGCCTACGCCAACGCCGCCGGAGTCCATGGCAGGGACGCGCTGGGTCCTCGGGGCGCTGCTTCGAGGCTGCGGTTGTAACTGCAGCAGCTGCCGGAGCACGGGCGCCGCCTGCCTGCCCCTGGCCTCGGCCGCTGGTCCCTTCCCCGCGGGCGTGTCGGGCCGCCGCCGCCTGCTGCTGCTTCTGGGCGCCGCGGCGCAGACGCGCGGCCTGCATTCCGGGCCCGCGCGCGCCAGGAGGCTGGCGGGACCCGCGCCAGCCGCCGCCGCCGCCTGCCACCCGGCCCTGCGTGCCCCGCTGCTGCCGCAGTCGCTGGCGGCCGCCGCGGGCCCGGCGCGGGGCTACAGCCAGGTACGGGCCTTGGGCGGGAGCGCGACCCGTGAAGGTCATGCAGTGTGACAGGTCCGCCGCGGCGCGGTCCCGGGCGCGCGGTTCCGTCGTGCGGGGCCGGGTCGGGCGGAGCCTGGCCGGGCCGGCAGCGCAGGGTCAGGCTTGGGGCGGGAGCGCGCCCGTCTGTGAGGCCGAGCCTCTCGCGGTCTCGGGCCCGGCGCCGCCGCCCTTCCTAAAAGCCGGCGGTGCCGACGGGATTCGAGGAGGCTGGAAAAGTTGCCCTAAAACACCGACAGCAACCCATCTTCGTGAGCCAGTTGTACAAAACGTTTCCTCCTGTGAAATGACTGCAGTGGTAAAATCTTTGGCGTGTTACCTTGTGTGAGCCGCTTTGCTTACGTTTACCAATGGCTCCTTCACCTTAGACAAAGTTTTTATGGAAACGCATTTGCCTTAGCACGCGGCAGATTGCAAGTTGTTCCGGGGCTGGGTAATTTGAGGGTTGCACCCACCTTCTTCACACCTAGTTACAGCCCCAGCCCTTTTTTGTTGTTTGAGACACGGTGGGCTTGAACTTTTACATCCTTCTGCCTCAGCCTTTCACAGTGCTGGAAGGGTTATAGGCGTCCACCCCTCTGATCACAAATCTTAAACCTTTGTTATCTTGGTTGTAGTGTTGGATTCTTACTGCAGTCTGCCTTCGTTTAAATTATAAAGTAGTATCCTGGAGGTAGAGCTGTAAGGTTCTGTTGCTTTCAGCCATCCGCCTCTGCTCTGTTGCCCTGACAGTTAAATCGTTCCAAGGCCTCCTGTTGTCTTGCTGATTTACCCACGGCTCAGGGGCTCAGTGTCTTTCAGTGTTTCTTAAATTTCGTTTTGCCTGTGCAGGGAAGGGATTTTTGTTGAGCCAGCATTCAAGGCCTTCTGCTCCAGGGTCTTTGGCACCTGTTTCTACCCAGCAGTTTATGTGCATTCTTTGCGGGTTTTCAGGTGTGCCCTTCCCGTCCCACTTTATTCCTCACTTCAGACTGGAGTGTCCTGGCCTTCCTGTGCCCACCAGGCCCGATGCTTTTTTCCGTTATCACTGTTCTGCATTCCTGCAACACTATGTCTTGATATGAATACTCAGAAAGAATCGTGCCTTGTGTACATCTAGGTAGAGAGCTCTTTGAGGTGAGGTCTCATACGGAGCACAGTGTGCAGGGGGCTTTTAAATGTCCCATTGAAGGGATCCTTCTTTTTGACCTAATTAAATCACTATTATTAGGTACAATTTTAGGCCTGATGAATAAGTCCTCAATATAGTTTATGACCTTCCAAACCACGGTGATACACTTGCTTACTGGTTTAGGTTGTACAGTTAAAGCTAAAATAGGATGAGTTGGATTTGTGCAGTTTTTTTTTTCCTTTGAAATAGTTCTAACATGTAGAGCATTTGTTTTCTAAGTAAGTTGCCAGAGAAGTATTTTTAAAGTTCCTCATGTCTCTCGAAAGGAGTCCAGAACCACCTACCTGGAAGACCTCCCATCACTTCAGGAGTATGAATTGGCCTCACCCAAGTTAGGAGAGGAAGTGGATGATGTGTATCTCATTCGTGCTCAAGGGCTGCCCTGGTCATGTACTGTAGAAGACGTACTAAACTTTTTCTCAGGTATGTCTCTTTCTTTCTCTCTGTCTTTATTTATTAGGTAAGGTCTTGCTGTGTTTGCCAGGGCTGTTTTTGAACTCTTTAGCTCAGTGATCCTCCTGCCTCCAGCTCCTGAGGGCTAGGACCACAGGCCCATTCCACTATGACCAGTTTTTATTTATTTATTATTATTTTTTTTTTATCAGTACCAGGGATTGAACTCACTACCATCTGCTTACAAGGCAGGTGCTTATGCCGCTGAACTAACTCTCCAACCCCTATGATCAGTTTTTATGTTATAAGTAGGTAATGTTTTCTTTTTTAGTGCTGGGGCTTGAACCTAGAGTTCTCCTACGTAGATAGGTCTGTAAGTCTGTAAACCTCTTTAGTTTTTCTGAGACAGGGTCTCGCTGTGTAGCTCTGAACTCTGTATGTAGTCCAGACTGGCTGTGTACTCACAGCCATCATCCTGCATCAGCCTCCCTAGTACTAGGATTACAGGTGTGGACCACTATTCCTGGTTTGCAAACCTTTTTTTTAAACAGTACCAGGGATCAAAGTCACGACTGCGAGATTGCAAAGCAGGCGCTTATGCCACTGAGCTAAATCCCCAGCGCTGGTTTGCAAACCTTTAAAAAAAAAAGTGTTTTGCTGGGTGTGGTGGCTCACGTCTGTAATCCCAGCACTCAGGAGGCTGAGGGAGGAGAATCTTTCGAGTTTCAGACCAGTCTTGACTACAAAGTGAGCTCACAGCCAGCCTGAACTGCATAGAGAGACCCTGTCTCAAAAAATTAAAAAAAAAAAAAGTGTTTTATTTTGAAGTAGTATCTTGCTAAGTTATTAATACCTAGGCTGGACTCAAATTCATGATCCTCCTGCTTCAGCCTCTCAGAGTACAGAGTATAGATGATTTCCTCTTAAAATGTAGAATAGCCATGTGTATTATAGGTGTGTACCACCGTGCCTAGTTTAAGTGTGTAATTTTGTTTGACTAAAAGATATTTGAGACAACTGTACTGGGGATGCCCTTTTTTGATGGCTGGGAACTGTCTCACTCTGTGTCATTAGAGATTCTACAAAGTGATACCCTGGGTACATTGGTGATATGCACCAGATTTTTTTGTTTGTTTGTGTAGTGATGCTGGGAATTTAACCCAGGGCCTTTGCACTAAATTACATCTCTAGTCGTTTTTATTTTTGTTTTGAGACAGGGTCTTACGAAAAAGATTCAAGTCCCTAAGATGGGACTTGAATTTGTAATTTCAGTTTTGAGCCTTCCAGAGTAGACAGATCACATGCTTGTGCCACCATGCCCCACAACCTTCTACCAGATTTAAAGACCTTGAATGGAACCAGGTATGGTAGGCACAGGCTTGTAATCCCAGCTCTTAGGAGGCTGAGACAGGAGAATTGTTGGAATTTAAGGCTACCCCAGACCCTGTAACAAGACCTTCTCTCAAAAAAAAAAAAAAAAAAAAAAAAAAAGGCTTTAAATGCAATAAAAGTAATGTGGTATGCAACCAATTTTTTCAGGTGTTTCAGTGTGTACATAACAAGCCAGGCCTGGTGGCACAGTGCCCATAATCCCAGCAGTCTAGGACACTGAGGCAGGAGGATGGAAAGTTTGAGCCCAACCTGGGCAGCGTAACAAGATTCAGTCTCAGAATAATCAATAAAGGGCTGGAGATGTTGCTTAGTGCCTAAGCCCTGGGCACAGTCACGTGTACTGCAAAAAAAAGTGTATAATAAAAAGCCAAACCTATTGGTTAGAAATGTGGGGTTGAGGAGATTTATCTCAGTGGCATAAGCGCCTGCTTGGCAAGCACAAGGTCGTGAGTTCCATCCCTGGTACACCCCTACCCCCCGCCAAAAAAGAAGTAAAGCAAAAAAGATGAAAATATTAAAGAAGAGAAATATGTGGTTGAGGGTGATTTTTTTAACAACCACAAAATTTTTATTTTTTATATTAGACTGTGATTTAAAAATTTTCCTCTTGAGGCTTTTAGATGATTTCCTCTTAAAATGTAGAATAGCCATGTGTGTTATACAGCTGTAGTCTTAGCATTTATGAGCCAGGCAGGAGGTCATGAATTGGAGGCTAGCCTGGCTACAGACTAAGGTTGAGGCTCTGAATGAATGCATGTGTGGTGGAAGCTGGGCTGGGCTACATAGTGAGTTCAAGGTTTGCCCGAACTACATAGCAGGACTCAGTCTCAAAAAACCAAACCGAACAAACAGAAGGAATAAGCACTGCACAGATGTTTTTCCTTGATAATCAAAGTGGGAAATGAAATTACTGTAGAAAAATTATCATTTTTTTTTATGGTATTAGGGCTTCAACCCAGGACCTCATGCATGGTAGACAAGTACAATACCATTGAGTTACATTCCCTCTCCTGTTTTGTTTTGAGGTGGAGTCTTCCTAAGTTACCCAAATTTCATTTCATTTCTCTTTCTTTCGTTTATTTATTTATAATTTTTTTGAACTCTCTAGTTCAGACTGGCCTTGAACTCACTTATTTAGACCAGGCTGTCCTCTAAACTCATGGCAAACCTCCTACCTCAGCCTCTTGAGTGCTGGGATTACAGGCCTGTGTCACCGCATCTGACTCCATAATTTTCATAGGTTTTTTTTGTGTGTGTGTGTGATGTTGGGGTTTGAACCCAGGGCCACTTGCATGCAAGGCAAATACTCTACCACTGAGCTATATAGCTATATCCCCAAACCTCTTTATTTTTTGTTTTGACACAGGGCAGTACTGAAACTTGTGATCCCCTGCCTCAGCCTGCCTCATTGCTGGGATTGTAGGTGTGTGCCATGTTCAGGAGATACTTTATGAATACTGCTTTAAAGGAGTGTGCTCATGTATAACGCTAACCACATTTTAATCTCTTAAGTGACTCCAGGCTGGCTGTAGCAATGTTGCAATGGACAGGTGCATCTGAGTTGCCCCTGCCCTGCCTGAATCATTACCTCCACCCCACTGGGGTCTACTGAGCCAGGTGTGGTGAGCCTACATTCTGGGCCATGTACCAATCCCAAGTGCTCAGGTGCTTGTAGCTGTTGTGCTGAAGTTTGCCTCTGTTGACTGCTTGGGGCGATTTATTTATTTATTTATTTTTATTTTAAAGAGAATAAAATTAAACAACAAAACAGAACAAAATAGGACATAAGAAAGCAATGTAAGAGATACAAATTTCAAAGCTAGACGACCTGATATCTTCACTGTCTATCATATTGTCTCTTGTTTTCTTCCAAATAGTTGTCCATGTCTTCACATACAGAGAATTCATACAAAACAATGTAGTATAAAACTAATCCGAACAGAATGAGGAACGTGATTTAGGTCTTCAAAACCAGACAATAGAGGCTCATAGAGTCTCTCATTCTCTTCAAAATAGCTATCCATACTTTCATGTATATTGAAGTTCAACAAAACATAACAGGCAGATGGGGAGGGGTTACTTGGTTTCCCAACACTTCAGGTCCCAGAGTCCCAGTAAACACCGGTGGCTCCTGCCCTGGGCCACTGCAGCCTACCACACTCATAGCCGCTCTCAGTTGTGTGTTTGGGGGGGTTGCTTTAAGCTGTTTCTTTCTAATGAATTGACCATTTCACTGCCCAAGTTCTGAAATGGCCAACAGACCCTAGAAAGACATCTCTTTAGGCAGCTGCTTGAAGCCAACAGCAACAGGAAGCTGCGGGCCTTGACTCAGGGCCAGGCTTGGGGCGATTTAGATAGCACCCCTGCACAAGGTGACAAGGGTTTATGCGAGGACCATGACAGCGGTCAGCTCCTGCTTGGTGGCTGGGAAGCTGCACTGAGTGACTTGTGCAGCGGGCTTAGCTCGGAGTCTGGTTTTAACGGACTTCTCATATACTTTTAGACTGCAGAATCCGCAACAGTGAGCATGGGATCCATTTTCTCTTGAATAGAGATGGGAAGCGCAGGGGCGATGCCTTGGTTGAGATGGAGTCGGAACAGGACGTGCAGAAGGCCCTGGAGAAACACCGCATGTACATGGGCCCGCGCTATGTGGAAGGTGAGCCAGGCGGCGGGCTGCGCCTTTGGGGGAGTGTTTCTCAGGAAGTTTTTGTTTGAGTTTTTTTTTTTTTTTTTTTGTACTGGGGATCAAACTCATGACCTCACGCCTGCCAGGCAGGCAGTTGTGCCACTGAGCTAAATAAATCCCCAGCCCTTTATTTGAGCTTTGACAGTAGTAAAGTCGATAAGTATTATGAAAATATTGTTTTACAGCTGTGAAAATGAAGTGCATAGCTAATCTGAGCTTCCTGTCTCTGAAATGAGGCTTCTGGTCAGGTTTATTTTGAAGTTTTAAGGATGAGCTGTGTGTGGCACATAATAAATACTTAATAGATGTTCCGTATGATTTTCTTTTTTTTTTTTGGTCTTTTTCATTTTTATCGGTACCAGGGATCGAACTCACGACTGCCTGCTTGCAAGGCAGGCGCTTATGCCGCTGAGCTAAATCCCCAGCCCCCGTGTGATTTTCTTGAGAAGTGCATTCAGGACAAGTCTAGTGTTTGAATTTTTGGAAAACTCATAAGGTGGTAATGTTTGAGTGGGCCAGACATAGTCCAGGGCCTTGTGTAGGGTCAGTAAAGAAACTGCCAAGTGCACAACAGTAGGTAGCTCGGCATGTTGAAGATCATGGGATGGCTGCAGGGAGAAGATGAAGATGGATCACACAGACTTCCAGTGTCCCAGGGTCAGGCGATGCTGCTTCGCGGTGGTACCACTGTTGCTGTCTGACGTCAGACCTCTGTGTGCCCTTCTAAGCAGAAGCCTGGGTGCTCCAGAGGTTGGGGTGTTATTTGTGGTTGAAGGGAGGAAAAGAAGTGGCTGCCATGCTTTCCCTATTTCGGGACCCTTTGGTTGAGAAACTTGGGCTAGGGGCTGGGGATTTAGCTCAGTGGCATAAGAACCTGCCTTGCAAGCAGGTGGTCGTGAGTTCGATCCCCGGTACCGATTTAAAAAAAAAAAAGAAAAGAAAAGAAACTTGGGCTAGGTGTGTGGCCTTTACAGTTGAATGCGGAGAAGAGAGTGGCTCAGGGCTAACTGACTGACCTGACTTTAATGGTTTCCTTCGTCAGGTGCACTATGTATCCTTATGACTTTCCCTTGCAGTGTATGAGATAAACAATGAAGATGTGGATGCCTTAATGAAGAACCTGCAGGTCAAGTCCTCCCTGCCAGTCAGCGATGGTGTGGTTCGACTGCGGGGACTTCCGTACAGCTGCAATGAGAAGGACATCATAGACTTCTTCGCAGGTGCTCAGCAATTGGATCCTGTTGCGGGCCTATCTCTCCTTCCATGGTTACCTCTTTCCCTGTTGTCTTTTTGTGTCTTAGACGTGTTTGACCACTTAGCAGATCTTTGGGTTATGTCACACTGCTGAATAATTTCATAAGTCTTCATTTTACTACTGAACAAGATACTTTTGTGTGGTGGCTCACGCTTGTAATCCCAGCACTTGGGAGGCTGAGGCGGGAGTGAAACCACCCTGAATTGCGCGGTGAGACCTCTCTCAAAACCCTTTGCAGGACGGATATGGTCAAAATACACTCATTGAAGTCCTCCCCCTGAATGTGAAACGTGGGGGTTGGGATGATCAAAGTACCAGTTGTGAAGTGTATGTAGGAGTCTACCTAATGAGGGCCATTAAGCTGTATAACCAGTATGCACTAATGAAAAAGGATGTGACACAAAAAAGAAGTTAACAAAAGATAGTGTAAGACTTATATAGTGAAAACTATAGAATACTGTTAAAAAAAAATAAAGATGATCTAATATTTCTTCTGAATAAGTAGTCTTCTAAATAAGTAGAAATAGTGCATTGTTATCTTCTCAGAACTGGCCATTATTGGCTAAGACAAAGGCAATATATGTGATTTAAGCATATCTAACTCATATACTATTAGTGTCTTAGTCAAAATCTTTGTTGTCTCTTAGAATACAAATAATGGTTAAGAAAAAAGTTAGGGATGAGGTGTATGTGTTAGGTCTACTTGGACTAAACATTGTGGAACTGTAGGTATGCGAGTGTCTAGCTATGTAGTAATTTCTTATTCAGTATTGCCTAGCTTTGGGATTGGCAGTATACCTTGCAGATTTTGTTAGTGTATAGTAGATGCGTTAATTCTGAGGATAAAGAAGTTTTGGTAGCAGAACTAATCTGTAGTAATTTTCTTGTGTTCTAGGACTGAATATAGTAGACATCACTTTTGTGATGGACTACAGGGGACGAAGAAAAACAGGGGAAGCCTATGTACAGTTTGAAGAGCCAGAGATGGCCAGCCAGGCCCTGCTGAAACACAGGGAGGAAATTGGGAACAGGTGAGTGAGGCAGTCCTGGTGCGGAAGTTTTGCGCATCGGGTGGTGATGATGAATAGTGCATTGTGCTGTGACTGCTGAGGTTATCCAGATGCAGAAGATGCAGACGGACTGAAAGGAGCCCAGTGGTTCAGTCCTCTGGTAGCCATGGAATGAACACCCATCACTTAGTTTGACATTTGTTCTGATTTTTTTCTCTTTTTTCAGTATGTATCTCTTTTTTTTTTTTGAGACTGGCCTTGAACTCACTGTGTAGCTCAAGGCAGGCCTTGAGCTTTTGATCTCCTTCCTCCCACTTTTGGGTTGCTGGGATTGCAGGTGGATGGGCCACGTCTGGTTGGATTTGTTTTGGGGGCTGAAGCCCAGGTTAGGTGTTACTACTGGCAGCAAGTACTTCACTCCGAGCTCCGTGTGGCACCAGAGGAAAAATCAGCTGCTTGTCTGCTCTCACATTTGTGTGACACCAGGGTGCACATCACAGTGTATGTTTTCATTTCAGTTTTGGAGGAATAGTAAAAAGTCAGATTTTATGTGATTATTTTTTGCTTTCTGGCCTTTTTACTTAGTTCCCTGTGGTTAAAGATGAAAGCCACTTGAAGGCTCGTGTGTTTTAGGATATCCCACGCAGTTGGTTCAGAGGTCTTCTTTTTTTTTTGGTACCAGGGATCGAACTCATGACTGTGCACTTGCAAGGCAGGCGCTTAAGCTGATGAGCTAAATCCCTAGCCCCTCAGAGGTCTTAAAGACGTGCTGGAGCCGTGTTCTTTGCGGTTCTGGGGACCGCGTGCTTGGCCGACACCACGCCCTGGCCTATACATGTACCTCTGCTTGTAACCTTTTTAGGTTTTGTGAGTACAGTTGGTTTTCACAGCTCGATTTAAGAGCTTGTTTTGGGAGAGAGTCTCACTGTCACGGTGATGGTCAGAGTTTGTACTTTGTTCTGGAATTTCCTTGGTCTTGGTGAAGTTCTTCTCGGGAGGTAGTCTGACACTGTCGTCTTTAATGTCTCCCACAGAAGTGACTGTTACTTGTCATTATAAGGCATCAAGGATTGAGAAGAAAATCAGCCTTTGTATTTATCTGCTTTTCATGACTGTAGCAAATACTTGAGGCAGGCAAACTTTATATAGAAAAGAGGTTAATGCCAGATGCTGAGAGTCCACCAACAGGGCCAGGTCTTGGGGAACCCGTCCAGAAGGGCTATGTGAGAAGAATCACATCTTGAAGCAGGGAAGCAGAGAGCAGCTCAGGTTAGGCTTGGGCTTTGGTAACTGTTGGCTGTTGGAGGCCTGGGTCCTCGGAGCCTTCCCTTTCTGGAGCAGGGCCCCGTGAGCACAGGCTTTCCCACTTCCTTTCCTGTGTGTGCAGTTGTTCTTAGACGTTGATCATGATTTGCATGACTCAAGCACTAGCTTGGTAAAGAGATCAAAATCTACTGTTGAGACTGCTTTCGCATGGGCTAGTAGTCATCGTTACTGTTTATTTGCCCCATGTTTCACAGATACATAGAGATATTTCCAAGCAGAAGGAATGAAGTCCGAACACACATTGGCTCTCATAAGGCAAAGAAAATGGCATCTTCTCCTACTGCCAAGTATATGACTGAGCCAGATGTGGTCTTTGAAGAACACGAAATAAACGAGGATATTCGACCCATGATGGCTTTTGAAAGTGAGAAGGAAATAGGTAAGGTCCTGCTGCTGCTGTAACTGTTAACTTGTGAAGGTATTTTGAGTATATGCCAGAAGGGTTGTTTTAACTTAGCCATTTAGTGGACTAGCAAAAGCTGAGTACTAAAAACGTAACGAAAGGAAGTAAAATGACAACATTTAAACTGAGGTGGAGAAAGATTTGGGTAAAGAGAAGTGAATAGTGACTCTAGGAAGGATTTCTGTTTGCCTCTGGATTTAATTATTTGATTCCTAACCCCAAAGCAACCTTTGACGTCTTTGAAATTTAGCAGATGCTTTTGAAACGTATACCCTGGGGTTATCCTGTCACCATGCATGTGTGTTTGTACATAGGAACTGAAGTACCTTTTATGCATTGCATTGGATAGCTCAGTTTTATGCATTCTCTATAGTACTGTAACTAGCGAGTCTTCCTGCTTTGGAGGTTCTTTCATGATCCTTTTACCTTCTCTGTGTTATTACCAAGGGATGTTCTTAGCTGGGCGGTGGTTTCAGGCACCAGTGACTGGTGTCGGGTAAGCAGCTGGCATTTCATTCCAACACTCTGGCTTTGGGAGTCCTTGGCTAATTCCAGGAGAAATGGTAACTTTGGTATTTCAGAACTTGATCATAGTGGCTTTTAAAGAGTTTGTGCCTTGTCTTGCTCTCTCTCTCAGAACAGCCAAAGGAGGTGCCTGAGAAGCTTCCAGAAGCTGTCGATTTTGGAGCCACTCCCTCCCCACACGTGGTGCACATGAGAGGGCTGCCTTTCCATGCCAATGCCCAGGACATCATAAATGTGCGTGCAGTAAGACGCCCAGACTCAGTCAGGGAAGCTCTGAAGGTGAACTTGTGTTAATTAGGGGAAGGGGAAAGGACACTTCTTGAGTCAGGTGTCCTGTCCCTTGTTGGAAAGCTTGTTTCCTCTTCTGTAGCTGAAAGTGTGACATAGCTGGGCTGGTGGTACAGGCCTGGATTCCCAGCTTATGAGAGGCTGAAGCAGGAAGGTCCCTATAGATCAGGAGTTTAGGGTTAGCTTGGGCAACGTAGTGAAACCACATCTCTGTCTTGGTCTCTGACTCTGCCTCTTTATGTATGTATGTATGTATGTATGTATGTATGTATGTATGTATGTCTTTGAGGCCAGATCTCACTGTGCAGTTCAGGCTGATCTTGAACTTGCTTATGTAACCCAGGCTGGCCTCAGATTCACCAGTGGTCCTCTGGCCTCTATCTTCTGAGTCCTGGATTTATAGGCATGTGCCACCATGCTTGGTGAGACCATGCTTGTGCCACCATTCTTGGTGAAACCATGCTTCTTTAAAAAAGAGTTGGGTTTTGGGGCTGGGGATTTAGCTCAGCGGCATAAGCGCTTGCCTTGGAAGCAGGCAGTCGTAAGTTCGATCCCCAGTACTGATAAAAAGACAAAAAAAAAAAAAAAAAAAAAAAAAAAGAGTGTGTTTGTACTACATTGAAAGAAAAAAGATTTGAGGATTTTATAGATGCCAACTAATATGAGATAGATTTAGTAATTACAGTTTGGTTTCCTAATAAATTGGTTTAACTCACTGAATGTTTTGTTAAGGAAACTGAGACCCAGGTATCTGGGAGCAGGTATAGCAGATGCTCCTGACCTTGGCTTGCAGCGCAGGCCGAGAGTGTGTTGATCACCTGGCTCTCTTGGCGGAGCCTAGGATCAGGCCTTGTGCAGTGCTAGAGGCCTTCCTCGTCCTGCGGTCGGCTGGAGCTGCAGGTTGCCGCCATGCCTGCGTCTCAGTGTGTTACTACATAGCACTCGTTTCAAAACCACCAGACTTCAGTGTGGTCTTTCCTACGTTTGAATTGCTTTTGTACCACTGGACTCAGAAGCCCTGACTGGAATTGTGAAGCCACTGTGTGTGCTACCCAAGACTCTGGGGCTGATGTGCCCAGGGTTCTCAGGAGGTACCATTTGAGTTGTTTTGTTTTGTTTTGTTTGAGACTGAATCTTGGTGTATAACCCTGGTTGGCCCCAAACTCACTCAATCCTCTTGCCTCAGCCTCCCAGGTGCTGGAATGATAGGAGTGTGCCATTGTGCCAGCTACCATGTAGTTTTCTTGCAATATTCCCTGCCTTTTGGGAAAGTGAATATAAAATACACTTTTTTAAACAATATATACTATATGAGTAAAACAATAAGACAAAGCTTTGGTCTTTCTGAACTTGAGGACACATATGAAATGTAGATCAAACCTAGTCTTCAGTTACTAGTGAGGCCTCAGATTTGTCATCAGTATGTCAAATAATCTAACACTAGTAACAGGGATCAGCTTGCTCTCTCTCTCTCTCTCTCTCTCTCTCTCTCTCCCTTTTTTTTTTTTGGTGTTAGGAATTGGGGATTGAGTCCAGGGCACTCTTCCTCGGAGTCACATCCTCAGCTGTGTGTGTGTGTATTTTACTTGGAGGTTGTCTCTCTAAGTCGACCAGGCTGGCCTTGAACTTGACAGTCCCTTTGCCTTACCTTCCCAAGTAGGCAGTATTAATTGGGGTGTGTGTGCCACCCCTGGCTAGGAACTGTGTCTCACACACAAGTATTACAGCGCAAATAAGTATTAAAGCACCATGTTCTGTTCCTTGGTTTGGAGCAGTATCCACTCTGTGTGATAGTTCGGTTGATGAGGTACATATCTGATTGAAACACAGTATTTTGCGAGGCAGCTCTCACTATGTAGTCCAGGCTGGCCTTGAGCTTATTGTGTAGCCTGGGCTGGCTTTCAGTTGATAATCCTCCTGCCTCAGTGTCTTGAGCCCTGGGATTACATATATCACCATGCCTGGGAAAACATGAGCTTTTAAGGATTGAAAAAATATTTTTGCCAGGTGTGGTAGCACATACCTGTAGTTCCAGCACTCAGGAGGCTGAGGCTGGAGGCTCTCTGTGAGTTCCAGGCCAGTCTGAACTATAGTGAGGGCTTGTCTCAAAAAAAAAAAAAAATCTTTACTGTTTTGTTCAACAATGTGAGAATCATTTGTGTAATGATTGTGTTTGTAGTTAAAGTTTTATGGGAGACCTGTAACCAGTTTCACTTTAAGGAGACACCCCAAAAAGCAGAATAGTCAAGTGTAGTGCAGGGTGTGAAGGAGTCCAGTGGGCCACTCTCAGACTGGTGCTTGGTCGTTTGGTCATGGTGTCCTGCAGTTCTTCATGCCGCTGAAGCCAGTGAGAATCACTATGGAGTACAGCTCCAGCGGGAAGGCCACAGGTGAGGCCGATGCGCACTTCGAAAGCCACGAGGATGCAGTGGCGGCAATGCTCAAGGACCGGTCCCTTGTGCGTAAGTACTGTCTATACGTGATGCCACCACTATAGTCAGAAACAATTTGTGCTATGGTGACTGCATTTTCCAGTTTTAAATTTTTTGAAATGAGAATCTTGCTACGTTGTTGGGGCCAATCAAACTCAAGAGGTTCAGTGATCCTCCTGCCTCAGCCTCTGATGGCTGGGACCATGGGCGTGTGCCACCACACCTGGTTTTACGCTGCTCTGGGGCACTAGGGGTGGATACAGGGCTGCGGAGCTGCCCAGGCCAGCCTTTGACGTGGGGCTGTCAGCTTGGGGTGTGGGTCTGCCTCCATCTCAGCTTATGTTCGCTTTTAACTGGGGGAAGGGCAGAGTCTGGATGTCGAGGAAAATGGGTCCTGTATATTTTCGCCTTATCAGCTATCTTTTTCCTGGTGCTTGTGCTGAGCTTTGTCTTCAGCCTTCTCTTTATTATTTATTTCAAAGCAGGTCTTGCTAAGCCCCTAAGGTGCCCAGGCTGGGCCCAAACTTGTTTTTCTTTTTTTTGTTGTCTTTTTTTAATTGGTACTGGGGATTGAACTCACCACCGCCTGCTTGCAAGGCAGGTGCTTATGCCGCTGAGCTAATTCCCCAGCCCTGGGGCCCAAACTTATGATCCTCTTGCCTCAGCCTCCCAGACTTCTTGGGTTGCACCATAACATTTGACTCCTTTACAGCTATCTAAAAACTAATCTTTTTTAAATAATTATTTTCAGACCATAGGTATATTGAACTGTTCCTAAACTCGTGTCCAGAAGGCAAATAAGACTTCAGGGGTTTCAGATAGTATGGTAAGTTTATTATAAGGTAAGAGGTATAGCTAGAAATCATTTTCAGTTGATAATAATCACTGACTCACTAACTGGTAATATAGTGGGAACAGTTTCCTTTGTAGGGGGCCATTTGTTTCATTTTCAGTATTGGGGATTGAGCCTAGAGCCTTGTGTGTGATAGGCAGGTGGTCCTCACCGAGCTACTTCCCCAGCGATTCTCTTTGTAATAAATATTTAAGCAGTGGTCACTGAGACACAGCATGGAAGTGGAAATTCTAGGACTTCACTCTGGCATCATGATAGAGCCCTTAGGTGATGTCCCTGTGTCCCTTCCCAGCCCCTGTGCCGCATTTCCCCAGTAGCTGTAGCTGCCTCTAGTGGCTGTTGGCCGTGACACACAGCAGGTGAGTCTTGCCTTCGCCTTCCTTTCTACTGATGTGTACACATACCAGTCGTAAGGTGTTTTCAGGGTGTGAAAGGGTACTGCTTTGAAACCAGGGTGCACCACTGATCCACAGTTAACTTGCCTTTGTTTGCTTTTCCCAAAATGATGTTATGAAAATAATTTTTTTTGTCTTAGGAAGTACATGGCTTCATATTTGCATAGTATCTGTTTTCCCTCATAAAGTACAATTTTTATTGCAGTCATTTTTCTGCATGTAGAGATGTATTCTTACAGATGCTTCTCTGTGATAATCTTTTGAAAACATGAGGGTGTTCTGTTATTGTGAACGTTGTGGGACTATTTAGGATATAAAATCCCTTGATGTTACATGCTTAGATTAGTTCAATTCTTATAAAATGTATTCTGCACTTACTTCTAGAACTATGTCTACGTACCAGGCCATATCCACTGATAAGTAATTGCTTCTCCTCACTTTAAATTGATTCATTCTCAGACAGCCTGTAATCAGTCAGAAAAAAATGCTGGCATTTGTAATTTTTTTTTTTTTTTTTTGTCTTTTTCGTCTTACCAGGGATCGAACTCACGACTGCCTCCTTGCAAGGCAGGCGCTTATGCCGCCGAGCTAAATCCCTAGCCCCCGGCATTTGTAATTTCAAATGGTACTTGTAACCAGTTGTGTAATCCTTTTTCAGTAACCATGTTCCATTTTTTTGTTTCAGGGTGAAGACAAGTGTTTTGTTTGCACATGTTTCTTGGACATGGGATAACAAGTTCCAGTTTATTGGCAGCAGCTGCTACAGAAAAAATTTTGAGGTTTTTGGTTAATTGCATCTAAGATAAGTTTGTAGTGAACTGATTAAAAAGAGGAAGATGCAGTTTGGAATTATAAAATAAACTACAAATTATAATTTTTGCTTAAGCTGCTCAAGATCTGGTTAAAAGAATATGGTCTTTATTTTATATAGTTATAAACAGTTTCTTTTCATAGAGGATATGTTACCCAATGTAAAGAGTACATATTTTTATTCAGCAGTATTTGTTAAAATTTTTCTCCCATTTAGAAAATAGCCTTTTCAAGATTTTTATTTTTTGCCTATGAATTAAGAGCTCTGATTTAAAACCTCTAAGGGATTAAATTAATGATGTATTTTAATCACTCACCAAAGCAGGAAAGAATTTCAGACTTTTAAACCAGTGTGGTTTGGAAAAAGTTTTTAATTTTAGCTGTATTCGGTACCTAGATAGGGGTAGGAATTTAAAAAACAGAAGATGAGTGTAAGACAGTTTGGCAGTTTTATGTTTTAGAAATGTTTTGCCTTCTAAGCTTTGCAAAGCTTTTCGCATCAGTGCCTGTCCAGTTATGGGAAAGTCAAGCCCCTCACCCTAACTTGTTCTGGTTTTGGGTAAGGGTATTTGTTAGTGGCAGAACTATAAAGTGATACCATGTGTCATAATGTGATACCATGTAAAGTGATACCATGTGGGAAGAATGTTCATGGCTTCCCTCAGATTTAGATCAGGTGGGAGGAAAATGCAAGTCCTTTGTTTACTTCTGCAGTGCGCTAGCCCAGCCTGTATTTTAGAACCAATAGAGTGCCTGGCTTAGGTAAACAGCAGTCACTGCGTGATCGTGTGAAGACCATGGTGAGCTGTGCTCCGTGTACTGTGGTGTTCCCCCTGCTTTCTGTTAAACAGCTCGCTGTGTCAGTGCTGGATGAGACAGCTGGCTTCCAAATGTAGTTACTAATAAACTAACTGTGTGCATCTGTGTCAGAGCTCAAGTCCTGGTTATCTTCTTTCCCTCATCCCTGTTCTCAGGGTTCTTCTGGGAATGCAATTCTAGTTCTTCTCATTGAATTAGCTGATTTTGCATGGGTGACATCTGGTAGGGAAATGGGGTCTCTCTGATGACCAGTTAAGGTATGAACTGCTGTGCTATAAGTAGTACAGCCATGAAAGCTTGTTGTGCAGTGAAGATAAGAGAATGTATTACTGGATTATGTGAGTCAACCATATATATAGATAACATTAACTCCTGGCATGTTAATATAAGAAGACATAGGGGCTGGGGGTTTAGCTCAGCGGCATAAGCGCTTGCCTTGCAAGCAGGCAGTCATGAGTTCGATCCCTGGTACCGATAAAAAAGAAAAAGACAAAAAAAAAAAAAAAAAGACATGGTTAATTTTCAGTTGTATTTTAAAAAATTCTTCTAGTAGACTATACTTACCTTTTGTTTTACAGGGGGCAGTGCAGTAGCCCCCTGTAATATCCCAATGGCTACGCGAGGCCAGTGCCAAGGTGCCAAACACCTGTGGTTTGGGGGACCGGGGCTCTGATGCTGTGATCTCTCTTCTTCTCTGTCACAGACTGCTTTTGGGCTCGGATTCACTGTGATAAAGATTCGAGGGTGTGCTGGGAGGAAGGGGTGCTGGTGAGTTTATTCATTTGCAGTTGCTTTATTTTCAGCTAACGAGACAAACCTCACAGAGCTGTCTGCTGGCGGCCGTGCCCTCCCTACAGGGTGCAGGCTTGGGGCAGAACCGCTATGGCTGTTCCAATGGTCCCAGCCTCTGAACTGGGGTTGAGGGCGGGCAGGGCAGGCAGGGTCGAGCACTGTGTGGTGGAGGTGAGGTTCTCTTAATTTTTGCAGTAAGGAAAAACTGCCTCCCAACTTCAGGCTCACTGGGGGATCCCAATTTGTTGCTGCTGGTGGAGCAATGAGGGTTCCTCCCCGTGGGCTTTCTGAGCATGCTGGCAGAGCGGGTAGGCTGTGGTAGGACGGGTGGGGCCCTGGGCCCGTGATGCATCTTATGGGGAGGCTGGGGTCGGGGAGGAACTGCCCCTGGCCCTGTGTGGGGTGTGGTCAGGGCATCAAGGAGTCATGGCTGGGTGATCCAGCCCCACTTCTGCAGTGAGCGGGCCTGTGATGTCCCTGTCGAAATAGCCTTCTGTGTACCGTCTGTTATAAAGTGTCTGTTTGGATATTTGACCCAGTTTCAGTTTTAGTGTGTGTGTGTGTGTGTTTTTAAACTATGTTTTAGAAAAGAGATTTAATTTGTCTTAAGCCTTGATGTAAAAAGGAAGAATGGTGGGCAACCGGGCATGGTGGCACAGGCCTATAATCACAACACTCTTAAGAGACTGAGGCAGGAAGATCCCAAGTTCCAGCCCAGCCTGTGCAGTTTAGCAGCCAGCATGGGCAATGTAGTGAGTCTCTGCCTCAAAATTAAAAAGAGTGAGGATGCACTAGGTTCAATTCCCAGTCCTTTAAGAAGTCTGCATGTGACACTGAGTGTAATGGCGTACACCTGTAACCCCAGAACCCTGGGAGGCTGAGGCAGGAGGATCTGAGTGTGATACTGGGCTGGGCTTCATAGGTAGCTCAAGGTGGGCCTGGAGAAAAAGCGGGACCCTGTTTTTGAGACAGGGTCTCACTACATTGCCCACATTGGCCTTGAACATTTGATCATCCTGCCTTAGCCTTCTAAGCCTTGGACTTAATGGATTTGTGCTCCAACTCTCTTTGTCCCCAGACTGACTCCAGACCCTGGGTTCAAGCAATCATTGGCCCCCAGCCTGGATAAAGGGGACAGGAACCATAGGAGCATGTCTAGGGCATCTGCCTTGCCTTTTGTTCATTTATGTTTTCATTTATGTAGTCATTCTACCTACCTACCCCCCTACCTACCTACCTTCCAGCTGCCTACCTGCTGACCTGACATAGGGACTTGCTAAGTTGCCTGGGTTGGGCTTGTGATTCTCTTGCCTCAACCTCCCAGGGTGCAGGTGTATCCCACCGTGTCTGGCTCAGTACTTCATTTGCAGATATTTTAGTATGCATATACTAAAAAGTCTATACTAAAGTCTCTGTAAAAGACACTTTAAAATATAATTTCTTATCATTTACTATAACTTTTGTAACAAAATCATTTGAATCATCTGAAATGTCATTTTTAGAAGAGTTTCTTTAAATTATCTAGTCTACATATTGTACTTGGGTACTATGCTGCTTTTCCCTGCAGGTTTCTTTCCTTTTTATTTATTTATTTATTTATTTATTTATTTGTCTTTTTAAGACAAGGTCTCACTGTGCAGTTCAGGCTGGCCTTGGGCTCGCTTTGTAGTCTAGGCTGGTTTCAAACTTGGAACGAACCACCTGCCTCAGCTTCCTTAGTGCTGGACTTACAGGAGTGTGCCATCATGCCTGACTGTGCAGTATTTTTAATAAAAAATTTCAAGCACATATAAAAATTAAATTCTCAAAATGCTTTTCCCCATCTCTTAGGTCCTGCAGGTACTGTTTGCATACTTTTAATGCATACCTGAGAGTCATGTCTTCTTTATCCATGGCAAAGTAAATCATAGACACCTGCACTTGACTTTTATGTGTTCAGTGTACATATTGTTAACTGTTTTTCTTGAAAATCGACTGTGAGGGGCAGGGGATGTAGCTCAGTGACATAGTACCTGCCTGACAAGTACAAAGTCCTGAGTTTGATTCCTGAAACAAAAAAATTTGTGAGGTAGACAAGTGTTAAGTGTACCAGTGGGTGAACTTTGGTGTGTGCTGTCAACCCCCAGCTGACTCAGGAATGTTTCTTTCACATCAGAACAACTCTTATTCAGTTGCTCTCCCTGCTCCTCCTTTCCATGTTGGCCAACACAGATTTGTCTTATCTGCCATTGCTGGACTCATACAGCATACCTTTTCATGTGGTTTCTTTCCTGCCACTCATTGAGAGCTGCTCATGTGTCATAGTCCTCATCCCTTCTGTCACAGTGCTCCACTGAGCATGATCATACCACAGTTAACCTGCTCATCGAGCGTGAACATAACATAGTTAGCTATCACCTGCTGGGTGCACCTTGCATTGTTTCTGGTAAGTTTATGCACCTATATTGTTTCTTTTGGGTGTTTAGGAGTAAAATATCCTGAGTTGTAAGATCAATACATTTTAAAATTTTATTAGACGTGGACATGCTTTTTCTCCACAGTGGAGAGAGTTCCAAGTTGCACCCTTATTTGGTGGTGTTTGTGTGTCGTTTTAGCTGTTTTGTGTGTAGTGGGATGTACTCATTTTGTTCTGTCTGACAATATTGAGTCATTATAGTTACTGGCCATTCAATATCTTTGGTGAATTTTAAATCACTGTCCTTATTTCTCTTAAATGATAGGTTTTCCTGTCCATTTTTAAATTTTGCTGAAGAAACAAAATTAACCTGTAAGTTTCCACAATTTGAATTTGATGAGTTACTGTTTACTGGTCACTTTTTCTGTTGGATTTCACTCTTCACTAAGTTGGCAGAACCCCCTTACTCCTGCAGTGAGCTTTCTGCATCCTTGCTCCACAGTGTGTTGAAGCTTCTAATGGGACTTCCTCCTGCACTACACGAAGCCAGCCCTTAGCACCTCTGAAGAAGGGAGGTGAGGGGAAGGTCTGGGAGCCCTGCAGGCAGGCAGACTTCCGGCCTGGGGATCCCAAAACATCTGGGTCTGAAAGGCTCTCAGCCTTTCCTTTGTGAGGCAGAAAGCAGGAGACATTGAGGGACAAAGATGAAGAGCTGGCTGGGCTCTGCTTGTTCTATGCTTTCTCAAGAAGGAAAACTAGAAGACAAAAGTGACAAAATGCAATGGTAGCAGAAACATGGAATGGACACCCAGGATTTGGAGGCCTCTGATCGAGATCACTCCCAGAAAATCAAAGCCCCATCTGTGGGGCTTAGAGCTTGTGTATGATGCACAAGAAGGGAGTACAAAGGCAAGACAGAACAACCTGGCAGTTCTGATTAGTTATTAGGGCAAGCTATAAGGGTAGCAGCAGTTTATGCTTTGAGACAATAGTTCATGAAGCTTGGCATGATACAGTCAGGCATCCTATCCTGTACAGTTATGCTCTCATCGTTGCAGGGGTCAAAAGTAGTTTCAGAGCCATGAAGCAGTTATAGAGGTAGATAGTTTCAAAAAGAACAAAATTTTGCCAGGTGTGGTGCTGCATACCAGTAATCCCAGCACTTCGGAGGCTGAGGCAGGAGGATCATTGCAAGTTTGAGACCAGCCTGGTCTCTACAGTGAGCTCAAGGCCAGCCTGAACTGCATGGCCAGACCCTGTTCCAAAAAGACAAAAAAAAAAAAAAAAAGTTTTTTTTAAAGTTTCTATTGTAGTTTTTCCCTTTCCTTTACTATAACCTGTTCTTGTATAAGCATACTTTGTTAAACCTTGTAACTGAGAAGCTAGGGATTTAGCTTAGTGGCACATACACTTTCCTGGCATGCACAAGGTTTGAGTTCAATGCCTAGTACCAAAAAAAAAAAAAAAAAGCTTTATAACTGAGTGTGCACTTCTTGTTTTTTTAAATTTTAAAGAGGGTAAATACAAAACAGAACAAAAGAAAACATAAAGCAATGTAAGAGACATAAATTTCAAAGCAAGACAACCAAAGATCTTCATTATCACATTGTCTCTTGTTTTCTTCCAAATAATTGTTCATATCTTCACATACAGTAAATTCATACAGAACAACATAATATAAAACTGATCCAAACAGGATGATGAAGACATTTTAGGTCTTCAAGACCAGACAATAGGGAAGTCAACAATGGCTGTCATAGTGTCTCATTCTCTTCAAAATAGCTGTCCATACCTTCACGTATGTTGAAATTAAACAAAACAAAACAGACTAAAATCACTCGGAGCAAAGAATATAGTATTGCTGGATTTTACATCATGCTACAGAATTAGCACCAGGTACTATAGTCTCTTTTCAAAGTAGTTGTTCATTT